AGGGCAGGGCAGGGGTTCGTGCCCGGCTGATGGTGCTCTCCCTTCCTCTCTCTCCAGCCGGCGGCTCCTACTACATGATCTCGCGTTCGCTGGGCCCAGAGTTCGGAGGGGCCGTTGGACTGTGCTTTTACCTGGGCACCACTTTTGCAGGGGCCATGTACATCCTGGGCACCATAGAGATTCTGTTGGTGAGTGCCAGGGAAGGGGCCAGGCAGCGGCCTCCAACTCTTGCAACGACACAAGGAGCAAAGCATGGCGGGGAGCGCCCCTTGAGCTCCCGGGGAAAAGCAGAAGAGGAAGCTGGCGTGCAAATGTTTGCACCAACAGTTGTCAGTGAAAAGGGGGAGAGAGCGACGCGCGTTCACGTCCCGAAGGCCGCAGCTGCTCACACAACAGAGTCGACTCAGTTATTGAGCAGACAATTTCCTGGTTGCCTTCAGTAACCCAAGAGCTGGGTTTGCCCAGCGCCTTAATCTGCACGAGGCCAGCGCACCTTATGCAAGCCGGGACCACGAGTGGGCAGCCCATCTCGGAGCCTCCAAAACTGGTGCACGGGGCCGGGGGAGCCTCTGTCCAGTGTAGCGTTTCTTCTCTGTTTGCACGGATTCTCGGAGAAGGTTTATGTGGAAATTAGGGAATGCTACCGCATTTGTTCATCTGCACACTATGCTTTGGTTGCAGAGGAACGTAGGCTTTGTTTAGGCCCCTGTGCTACGCATGGAAGCATCTTGGGGACAGGAAGAAGGTGCCAGTAGATTTATCTCAGTAGGATGCAGGATAATTTTCCCAAAGTGTTTTGGATGCCCAATGCTTTTTATCAGAGGAATGGGCAAAAAAGCAGAGCCAGACAAAGACTGCAGCCTATCCTTCTTACATAACTAAGGTCTGCAGTTTGAGAGCTGAAGAAAAGCCTCCTCCCTCTCTTTTCGTTCTTCCCCAGGCGCTCTCTCCCTCTCCCTCTCCTTGTATGTGAGAGGCGAGGCAGGTTACTAACGGTCTGCTCCTGGGTCCCGTGCACCCCTCTGCCTTGCCAGGCTCAAGGGTGCACGCCCTGGGGCAGGCTTAGCCTAATATGCTGACCTCGGTCACCGAGCAGGCTGGTTTTCTGGCTCACACGCTCCCCGAACTATCAACTCCCCGAACTGGCTCCTGTAAGGGAAGCTGCAGAGCCCGAGCCAAGATCCGCGAGGCGTCTTGGCCGGGCTCGGTTACGCCCGGGCACGGCCTGCGGGTAACTCCGCCCCCCCGCCCTCTCTCGGGCAGTGCGGGGCGGACTCACCGCTATGGGCCGCAGGTGGCCAGGACACGAATAACCATCTGTGTAGAAATAAGAGGACACAGAAGAGCGAAGCCGTACATGAATCTCTGGCCAGCAACGAGAAACCAAACACCGGACCTGCTCCTAAAAATCCAGAAAGCGCACACTGACGCAAAGGAAGCTGTGTGTCGCTGGTGCCCAAGCAGCCTCCCGTGGGGACTTGGCTGCTTCCACACAACCCTGCTGCTGCTCCCCAGGCTTGGGGCCGGGCTCCTTCGCTTGCCCCTCCCCGGATCATGGTGTCCACAGTCATGCAAAGGGGGGCCCCGGGGGGGCGGAGGCATGCCTTAATGTAAGATCTCGCTCTCTGAGAGCTCCAGGGTAGGGACCCCCTTCCTGGGGGAAGGGCCCTGCCCAGCTGCCCCTCCTGGGGGGGCGGAGGTCCTGCAGGCTTGGAGGAGCGCTGTCTTCGGCCCCTCTTGTGCTCTTCCATGTCCTGCTGAGGCCTTCCTGCCAGAACCTCCCCAGCCCCGGCCCGCCATGACCCCAGACCACCACGGCTCTCCTTCTGCGATTCTCTGACGAGGATCGCGTTCCCCTTCAGGCCAGCCTCATTTGCAAATCGTAGCAAAGCAGTGGAGCCGTGGTTTGACATGAGAGCCCCCCCCCCCGGGGCCGTCCCCTCTGTAGGGGCCAGGAGTGACCCGAGATGCCCCGTCCAGCTGGCAGAGGGGCTTGGGGGTCTCTGCGCCCTTCACTTTTGATGCTGGTCTCGCCACAGGACTTTCCGGGGCTTCTCTGTCATTCCCAAGCCAGCACGAGGCCGCTTAGCTGGCCGTCCTTTGGCCTCGGCCTCTTGGCGTCACCCTCCGGTGGGGGCGGGGGCTCCCCGCGGCCCTTCAAAGGACAGCTCCTCTCTGAGGCCCTTTTCAAGCCTCGTCCCAAACGGGACGCACATTTCACTCAGTATGGATGTTTATGACGGGGGCATTAATGTCAGGTCACGGCTTCTTGTTGCGAGAGAGATTGTTCCGCTGATCCTTCCCACCTGCAACGCTGTGACTTCCTCAGGAAGCTGCACGGTGCCGGCGCAAGAGTGCGACCTCTTCCCCGCTGTTTCTGTGGTCGTGTTGGTTAAGGACCTGGCTGCCCCGCGCGCAGCTGATTCCTGAGGCTCGCTGCCTCCCTGAGGGGGGCTGCGGGCAAGATTCGGGCCCTGACCGGGGAGGGGGCTCCGCTGGGCCGGGCTCAGTAGAAGCCCCTTGGCTCTCGCGTGGCTGCGTGGCCTTTCCCTGCGCGAGGTGGGGGGGCTTCCTTCCCAGCGCTTGCATGGGCTGCCCCGCAGCCACCGCGGCCCCTGTCTGGAGAGGTGCTCCCTCTGGTGGCCTGGCGAAGGCCGGAGGAAGCCGCCCCTTTGCCTCTGCGGGCTCCTGGGGCAGCTCCACAGCTGTTCGGGGCAGGCGATGACTTTTTTTCCCCAGAGTGGCCACTCAGCCCCACTTCCCGTCTCCTGCGCAGGCTTACATCTTCCCCCCCATGGCCATCTTCAAGGCGGAGGACGCCAGCGGGGAAGCAGCAGCCATGCTGAACAACATGAGGGTCTACGGGACGTGCGTCCTCACCTTCATGGCCACCGTGGTCTTCGTGGGCGTCAAGTATGTCAACAAGTTTGCCCTGGTCTTCCTGGGCTGCGTCATCCTCTCGATCCTGGCCATCTACGCGGGCGTCATCAAGTCTGCCTTTGATCCGCCCACTTTTCCGTAAGTGCCTTGCCAGTCCGGGTGGGGCTTTGTGAGGGGCCGCCCGCCCGGCTGTTTGCAACGGCCCCGGGCCGTGGCCTGGCCTGGCTCCTTCCGCCCTCCTCGCGCTTGCTTTCAGCACTGTTGCCCATCGCCTGATTTCACGGGGCATCTGAGGGGCATCTGGGGGAAGGCCTGAGCCCATGGCTGAGCATTGGCTTCCCAGCCGAAGGCCTGGCCCAGGGGCTGGCATCTCCAGCCCGAAAAAGGAGGGGCCGCTGGCTGGGGGGGCTCTTGCTGCACGCCTAAGAGGGCTGAAAAAGCCTCCAGCAGCTTCCCGTGGGGTTCCTTCATCCTTCTTAAAAATATAGTGCCGAATATGGGAAGCGACGTGCAAACGCCCAACAACATTGATCTGAGGAGCAGGGCGGAAAGAAAGGGCTTGAGGAGGGCCAGAGCTGGCCTTCTGCGGGACTTTGGCATTCCGCTGGGCCCTTTGAGGGCAGCTGGACTCTGCGCCGTTCAGCTTTACACCCCAGAGCAAGAGCACCTACTGGTAACCCAGCAGGAGGAGGGGCTGCACGCATCCCCCCTCTGGAAAACGAAATGGAGGAATAAAGGGCACCCGCAATCATAGTCATAGGCTAGAAGGTGCCTCGGGATGCTGCAATCCAGGCCCTGCACAGCGCACGGGATATGCAATCCCCCCGCACGCCCGGAATTGGCAGGAAAGGGGGGTCAGGAACCGCGCGCGGGGCCGGGCTTTGGAGTCCTTTTCCCGTCCAGGTGAGGGAATGGAAAGCCAGACAGACCCCATCCTGTTACGCTGCCTCAGGCGTGCCGTAAAATGCACTGAAGGATCTGCTGAAGCAGGATGTGGGAGCTCCTTGGGATGGAGAGAGAAGAATTTTGTTACCACAGGTGCAGAAGTGCGTGGGTTCAAGAGGCTGTAGAGAGGGAGAGGTGCATGTGAGTGAATTATTTCTGCACAAGGTGGGGATGAGTGAAGGGTATTGTGCAGTGTGTACCGAGAGAAAAGGATAATTCCGAAGAACGCAGTCAGGGAGAGCAAGGGGTGGTTCGGAGTGAGAGAGGCGGAGACCCTGCAGAGCCACGCTGGCGGAAATAGGACGTGGCCCGAGAATAGAGGAAAAGGCACCTCCAGCAAAGAGTGTGGAATTAAAAATAAAAGCGATGGGGGGTCCAACTAAAGTGAGGGAATGGTGAGACATTATTTAGAGATTTCTAGTGACAGTAAATAAAGTAGAATAAATCTCTTATTCTAGAGATTTAGTGACAGTGATAGCAAAGACAGGAACCCAAATGACTGCTCTAAATGTTAGTGCCTGAGAAAAAAAAATGACCCCAAAAAGGAAGTCATAAATGGTGCCAGTATGCTAAAAAGTGTAAGGCATGGGTGGTGTAGCTGGAAAATGTTAAATTAGGGATGCAGTTGGCTTATGTGTGAAGGCTGAGCTGGAAGAATGCTGCTGTTGCTCCCCTGCGCAAAAGGAAAACAAGAGCAAGGGCCAATTCAGGAACGACGGGCAATTTGCCGGTTCAGTGTGCCGGGAAGGGGCTTGGCAGGGCTCACGCTGGAAGGGTTCAAAAGGCAGCAGTCGGTGATTCTGGGGAAGCGAAGAGTGGCCTCCTCTTAGGCAGCGTGTGTGCAGACCAGGTGTTTGCTCTTTAGCAGGTCATTAACAAATGCAGCAATCTGGGAAGGAAAGTTTACTGCACGCTTACTGATTTAGAAAAAGGGTGCAATTAAGTCAATAGGCTTGACTTAGAAAATGTTGAACATGAATATGGAGTTAAAAGTTGATTGCTGAATGCAATCAGCACAATAGAAGTAAAGCTGAGTAAGAATGTGGGGTACTTCGCCAAAGGTTCGACAACCCTGAGTAAGAAAGAGGTGAGGATTTGTCATTTCATCTTTTATGAATGAATGCATAGGAGACGCTTGTGTCTGTCAGGGATGTGAGCATCCGTGCTGCTGATTAAGAACCCAGATGATTTGCAGCAAATGTCAGATAGATGGTGTGTTGCAATGAGGATTATGAATCTGAAAATTGATATGTTAAGACCAAGGTGGTTGCGTTTGACCGGGAAAATGGAGCAAGCAATTGTAACTTAGAAATTGTGAAAAACTTGAGCAAACAAATGAATTTGTGTATTTTGGTGGAATGCTTATTCAAGATGGGAAATGGATGGAGAAATTTTAAGATGTGCAAATGCTGGTTGCAAGGCAGTGTTCATAGTCTGTTATGAGGAAGGAGTGTTTGTTGAGAAGCGAAACTGCTTGTGCACAGCTTCTGCCCACTCGGTGGCATGGAAATGACAGCTAGTTGCATCAGAGGAATATAAAAGTAAATGGAACGGGGTTCGTGGGAACCGGTCACTTGAGAAGCACGTGTGGCAAAAGCGATTGGGGCAAGGATGGGCGGTGCTGAGCAAAGTGGACTGAAGGCGGGGGTGAGCCGTCAGTCAGAGAGAAAGAAGCACGTGGAGGCGCTTTGGTCATCTAGAGAGAACGAACGAGGAGGATCGAATTGTGAAACCAGGATATGAAGGGGAAGGCCAAGAAGGAGAAAGCCGTGGTTGGAGGAAGTTGATGGGATCCTGCAGAGGAGCAGGTGGGACATCTCAAGAAGGAGAGGCGAGGTGTGGACGTGGTGGGAGCCGGGATGTTGGCAAGGACAGAAATTTAGGAGAGCCGTAGAGGGGTGTTGCTGTAAACTGGATTGTCTCTATGTCCTTTCCTCTTCCTCCTGCTTTTAACTTCCAGTATGTGCCTTACTTTGCACACAGCACCCCTCACCCTGAGAAGGAGGAGGGCGATGGGCAGAGGCGTGGGTGTGTTCTTCTTCCGGGCCAGAAGGGGAGTTTGGGGCCTGGAGATGTGACACAGCTTCCGAAGGAGTGGAGGGGGGGGGGCAGAGAGACCTCCGGGGAGACCAGAGGCACGGTGTGACGCACCCCTTGGTTCCTGGGGTCCTGAGACCAGCTGACGGCCTGGAAATGCCACCTTGCAAAGGCTGTCACTTCCTGAGGTGGGAGGGGAACTGCATCACCCTTCCCATTCCCTGGCAGAGCTGAGCAGCCCTTGTTTTCCCTCCGGTTTGTGTGTTTTGGCCAGGATCTGCCTCTTGGGGAACCGGACTCTATCCCGCCATGGCTTTGACGTGTGTGCCAAGGTGGTCCAAGTGGGCAATGAGACGATCGGCTCCGAGCTGTGGGCACTCTTTTGCTCCTCACGCTTCCTTAATGCCTCCTGCGATGAGTATTTCGCCCAGAATAATGTCACTGAGATCCAGGGCATTCCTGGAGCAGCTTCTGGTCTCATCCAAGGTACAGGGAGCCCAAACGTTGGTGGGGGGGCCCAGTGGGCTGCTGTCTACCAATGATGGGGGGAAGGGCTGGCTGGACCCCCTTCTGTAGGGCAGAGGGAAGGAAAGCCCCAGTCCACAGGGGGCTGGCTGGAACTGGTGGAGTATCCTGCCCCCAAGGTGCACGCACGTACACATACACACACACACACACACACACACACACACACACACGATGGCACAAAGCCACCAGCTCCAGGAGAGGAACCCCCATTGCTCCTGTGCTGGGGGGGGAAGGTGCAGCGAGGACGACCCCCAGCAGGGGAGGATGGTTCCTGGAGCTGCAGCGCCCTCTCTCTGCAGAAAACCTCTGGAGCTCCTACTTGCCGAAAGGGATAGTTATTGAGCGGGCCGGGATGAGCTCTGTGCCCCCCTCCGAGTTGATCCTGGACATGGACCAGCCCTACGTCTTCAGCGACATGACCTCCTACTTCACCCTCCTGGTCGGCATCTACTTCCCTTCAGTGACTGGTGAGAGGCTGCCCTGCTTTCCTGGGAAGAGTTGGGGGTCCCGGCCAGCCCCTTTCTGGAGTGGAGATCCAGCGCGGCCTCCCGCCTGGTCAGCCTGGGGTGCCTCTGCTCCCTGCAACGCCTGGAACAGGCAGAAATGCTTTCCGGCTTGCCAGATTGATGCCAGCCTTTGAGGAAGCACCAACCAGGAGCACTAACACGACCTTTACTGTAAGGTTGCAGTAACTGAATCTTGGAGGTCTGAAAGCGTTTCTCCCCTCCTTCCCTTTTGCTTTCCAGAAAACTAGGGAGGATCCCTTCTGGGGCACTTCCCATGTCCCCTTTGCTTCAGTCTGTGGGCTGAGGCCCCTTTTGCACGAGGGTCGTCTAGGCGGCTCTTCCTCCTTCTCCCAAGGTCATTCCCACATCCCCCCCCCCGGCCCTGGGCTCCAGCCAGGAGCCCCTCCGCCTCCTCTGCCACCGCCTAGTTTCAGGGGGAGGGGGCGTCTGATACAGGCTCCTCCCCAGCTGGAGGACCAGGGCCGGGAGCAGGCAGACCTGAACCTCCAGCTGCTTCCTCCAGGGATCATGGCTGGCTCCAACCGGTCTGGGGATCTCCGGGATGCCCAGAAGTCGATCCCCACTGGCACCATCCTTGCCATTGCCACCACCTCAGCCGTCTGTATCCTTGACTTGTGCGGAGGCTCGCCTGGGCAGCTGCCAGGGGAAAGGAAGGCCGAGCACCCGCTGGTGGCCAGCCTTTGGGGGTGGCCCCCTGGTGCCAAATCTCCTCTTTTAAGCTGGCCTAGAGAGCCCTTCACGTGGTGCCCCAGAGTGGGGGGAGTCCTTCACACACACAGCCCCCAAAGGCTTTGCTCTTCGCAGCAGATTCCCCTGTGCAGCAGGCCCCCAGGCCAGGCCGTGGCGCTGCGGGCAGAGCCTCTGCTCTATGGGTTGGCGGCTTCCAGGGCATCAGGTGCAGAATTTCCTTCAGAACCCTCCTTCTGCCTGGGCGCAGGCTCTTTTGCTGTGTTTCTCTTACAAAAGCTGAGCCCGCTTCTGGGGGGCAGGAGGAGGCCCGGGTGCTGCCAGGAAGGAAACCGGCCCTGTGGGGCAGCCCCTCAGCCCCCTTGCCAGCCCTCTCTGGGTACTGCTTGGCCTGACTGACCAGGCTGGGCATGGGAGAGGTGGGCCCGGCTGCCCTGGAGGATGCCCAGGCCACCCTTGGCATGGTTCCCTGCTGTCAGTGCCCCACCCGTCCTCCCCTTGCTTCCTTAATGCTCCCACAGACATCAGCTCTGTGATCCTCTTCGGCGCCTGCATTGAGGGCGTGGTGCTCCGAGATAAGTGAGTGCTCTGCCTCGACCGGACGAGTGGGGCTCCTGTGCAAGGGGGCCAACCCCCTCCACACTGCCTCTTGGGGAGGAGACCCGTGTGTGGCTCAAGCGCCCCCGCCCCCCGGTGCTGCGGGCAGCATAACCAGCTTCCGGGGCTGGGGAACAGGGATTGCAGGGGAAGCCAAGCAGAGGCTCCTGCAGTTGCCTTCTCTTCCCTCCTCGCCACCAGCCCTTCTGCAGGCGTGTGGGGAAAGCCGTTCTCAGGACAAGTGAGGACCCGCTCTTCTGGCCTCTCGGGAGCTGGAGAAAGGGGGCTTCAGCCCCGGGGGCTCAGGAACCGGGTGGGGGGCTGGGACCCAGCCTTGCGCTCACCGCCCTCTTCCCTTTCAGGTTTGGTGAGGCGGTCAGTGGGAACCTGGTCGTGGGCACCCTGGCCTGGCCCTCCCCCTGGGTGATTGTCTTCGGCTCCTTCTTCTCCACCTGTGGAGCTGGGCTGCAGAGCCTCACTGGGGCCCCTCGCCTGCTGCAGGCCATCTCCCGGGACGGCATCGTGCCTTTCCTTCGGGTAAGTGGGCTGGGCTCCTAGGGGTGGCGAGTCAGACTCCCTGGGGGCAAGTCCTTGGCATGCTTCTTCCTGGGGCATCAGGACAAGGCTGTGCTCTGCCTGTGCATCCTTCAAAGTGGCTGACAACAGGCCATGCAGAGGCCAACGTTAGGGCTGACCTTGTGCTGTGAATCTGCCCCGGGCAGCCATCGGCAAGACCTCGACTGGCCCTGCGCCGGACCTGGTGGGGCCGCTGCAGGCGTTCCAGGGAAGCTGCAGTTCTGCGGATCCAAACCAGCAGCTCTCTCCCGGGGACTCCGCAGCGCCCTTCCTGTCCCAGCCGTGCGCCTCGCCTGCTGTGTTCTCCTGGAGACAGAAAGAGCCACTGGCCTGTGCAAGGAGTAATCGGTCCTCTCACCCTTCTCACAAAGACCTGTGTGCGCTCAGGCTGGGGGAAAGGGAGGGTGCCCCCCCCAATTCAGCCAGTCTGAGCAGCTGTCTTAAAATGCTGCTCCTCCAAACCGCAGAATCCGGAAAGCGTCCCAAGCAGCACCCTTGCGGGAGGTAACCTAGCCCCTCAGCTTGGACCCATCTTCCCTTGGGGGGACCCCGGCCAGCGCAGCTTCACCCTCTTTCTCCCTTTCAAGGCTGTGGCTAGCCTTTTCCTGCAGGAGTGGCACATCGTTGCCGTCTGCTTCTGTGACTGTCCAGCCTCTGCTTGAAAACCTCCAGGGAAGGGGAAGAAGCCCCTCCAGGCAGTATCCTGTTCCCCCGATTCCTGTCCCGCCCTTCCCTCATATGTGTCCGCCTCCTTGAAGTGCCGTCTTGCTAGTTCTAGTCGTAAGGACCCTGGGAGAGCGGAGTCGGTCCCTTTGTCCAGGGAGTCGGTCCGGAGTCTTTCTCGGAAGGGCAGGGAGCACGTCTCTGGGCCCAAAGCAGGATCTGCCGCTCAACCGCAGCTGCACTGGGCCCCTCTGCAGACAGCAGCGGGGGAGGGTCTGTGGGGAATGCCTTGTTGGGGGGGAGGGCGAGAAGAAACGGGTGGACTCAGTGAAGCTCCCTTTTTCCATCCGGCCACACCTTGTGTGTGATGTGGCATCCTCAGACGTGGCGTATGCTGGCTGTCCACTGATCTGCAGCCCTCCAGAAACAGGCTAGCCGTGCTCTCCGTTGCAGAGAGGAACAACGGGGTCTTCTGACAAAGCAGGCTGCTTTTCTTAATGAAAGGCGGGAGAGGGGAGATGACATTCCAGGGCTCTTTCCAGCTCCCCTCCTTCCGTTCGCTCCTGAACGGTTGGGCTGGGAGGAACCCTGGAGTCCTCTAGTCCAGCCCCTGCTGGGAGAGGAATCCACCACGGCAGCACCCCGACCGATGGGCAGCCAGCCTCTGTTTCGCAGAATTGCGGGATTAGGGTTGGAAAGGACATCCGAGGTCATCTAGTCCAACCTCTGACCAGTACAGGAACCCGCTACCACAGCAGCCATCCTTCCACCGGATGCCACCCCCCTTCATTGGTTACCTGAACAGGAAAAATTAGCGAGTGTCCACTTGCTGTTTTTGGATCTCACACTTCTTAGAAGGAGCTGAGAGCCGAGTTCTTCTCGTCATTTGATTGCGTTAAGGGTTTAACTGCCCAGAGTTGCGCTGGCCAGTGGGCAGCCACATCAGTCCAATACAATCAACCAATCAACATCAGCCCTGGGAGGTAGGCTGGAGACAGATCCCCCCAGAGATGACACCCCTAGCCCAGGTGCCCTTTTGCCTCTTTGAAACAGGGAGGCCCGCAAGGGAGGAAGGGAGCGGGGCTGGCCTGCGCAGCACTCCTGGTGGGCACTGCCGCTGTGGGAAACGGGTGCCGGGAGTCCCAGTGTTCGCAAGCAGCAAGCGGGCTAACGGCGCTGCCGCCGCCACTTAGATCCTCGCCGCCGTGCACGGGGGGAACGGCAAATCCCCACCCGCCCCGCCGCTGCCTTCCCGCTTGGCGCAGGGCGGAGCAGACGGAGCGCGGGCCCTCTCCGGCCGGCAACCCGCTGTGGCTGGGCGGCCGCCAGGCCTTCCCTCTCCCTCCGGGCCGGCTGGGCTCCCCGAACGCCCCGGGGCAAAGGGGCCGCGCTCCCCGCCCGGGCCGCTCCTGGCCCTCGCCCGGGGCTTTCGCGGTGCGGGAGGAGCCTCGGTGAGGACCCCCCACCAGGGCCGTCTGGGAGCCGCTGCCGGCCCCCTTTCCCTCGCCCGCATTTATGAAGACGCCCCAAGGGCGACCGGCCGGGCTGCTGGGCGGCCTCTCCTCTCCTCTCCTCTCCTCTCCTCTGCTGTCCGGCGCCTTGTTATTTAAGGCTCCAACTCCGTCCAGGCACCGTCACCACTTTCTCGGTCTTCCCCTTCCTTTCACCCCAATTCTTCTTCACCGATTTGCTTGGCACTCCGATCCTCGTTCCTTCTCTCTTGATGACCCGCCATCTTGGTATTTTCTTAATGGCGACACTCACCAACTCATCTACTTGCTGCAGATTTTCACCTTTTGATTTTCCCTGTCAAATACAGCTACTTTCATCCGATATGTTAATCTTCAGATCCTCCGTGCAATCTACGTAATATTCTCAGCAAACCGTGTGGGTCCTTAGCCAACAGCGTGGCATCATTGCATGCAAAAAGGCTCTTGCACTCACATCCCCGACCGACGTACCTTCAACAACTCTGCAAAGTATATCCAGCTGTACCTTCAGCAGGGACGTCCCAGTTCCTTCCGTCATTCCCTGCCCAGGGCAGAGCCACTCCTGGAGCACTGCATTTATTCCCACACGCGCTCTGCTTCCATCCCGTCCTGCTCCTAGCTCATTCAGCTGCTCCCCTCACCCCCAGAAACTCCCCGGAGGACTTCTCCAGCCCCAGCCTCCTTCCCAGGGAAAAGCTGCGTGCCCTCCCTTAAACTCTGAGAAGAAAGGCGAGAGAGACATCTAAGAAATATAAATAAATAAAATAGCTCTCCCCCTGCCGCTTCAGCCTCGCCATGTTCCAGAGTTCTCATAGCAGTCGTGCTTCATGCTCTGAGGAAATCCATCCTTTGGCCAAGGGAGGCACCGGGATCTGCTGCTTCAGGAGTTCATGGCGTTGGGCGTGGGCAGGGCCGGGCACTTGCACCGGCTGGACTCTGGGCAGTCCAGGAGGAAGGGCGCCCCTCCCTTTCTGAGGCAAAGAGGGCTGGAGAGAGAGGCCCGGAAGGGAGGAATGATGTGCTGAGCCCGGGGGGGGGGGGGCTGGAGCATTGCCTCCCAAGTCCCAGACGAGCCCCATTGCCAGGCAGAGACGGGGCCGGTTGCTTCTCAAGAACTCTGTCCTGGCCAGGGAGGCCAGCGAGGAGCAGCAGTCCCAGAGGGCCAGGGCTGGGTTTGCATAGGACGGGGGCCATTGGTGGATCCGGCAGACACCCAGGCCTGTCGGCACTGAGGGAGAGGGCCTCATTGGAGTCCAATTATTCCCCCTCCAGCTCTGTTAACCCATCTTCCTGCTTTCAGCACCAAGTCTGCAAAATGGGGCTGCAGTCCTCCCCCGCCCCCCGGGTGAGCCATCTGGACCCTGAGGGGGCAGCAGCCCCTGGTCAGGCCAGCCCAGCCTTTTCCCCTTTTCAGTGGGGGGTGAGAGCTGGGAGGTGGTCAAAGATGGCATTTCCCCATCTGGCCAGGATCCATGATGGGGTGCTGCTACCATGCAGCGCTCTTCCCCGGGCTCCCCAGGATCAGAGCAAGCAGGAAGAGGCTGCCGCACGAAGCAGCGAGATCTCCTGCATGGGGCCTTCCGAAAGAAGCTGGGTGGACTTCTGTCAGAGGGGCGCTGGCTGGTGGGTCCTGCACTAACCAGAGGTTGGCCTAGATGACCTCGAGAGTCCCTTCCAGGCCTGTGATTCTGTGGAAGACGCTTCACTGTAGGCTGCCCAGCCCAGGAGAAGATGCAGGCGGTTGCAAACAAGAGCACGGGGCGGATCGTGCAAAGAGGGTGGTGTGCCGCTTCCCTTGCCATCTGTGGGGAGGGAAGCCCTCCCAAGCCGGACCCTCCCTGGATCCTTGACACGTCTGGCAGGTGACTCTCTTCCAGAGGGTGGAGGATTGGCTGTCCTGACCGGCCATGGATCACGAGGGGAGACTTAGTGGAGGAAGGCAACCATGTAATGCTCGCCCTGGGAGAAACGGAACAAACTGGGCTCAGTCCTGAGTTTCAGAGAAGCAGATGTTCATAAGCTCAGAGCCCTGGAAAGAGGGATCCTGTGGCAGCAGAAGAGCTTAGGATGGGGGCGCTCCTAGGCGGGAGATGGTAAATGAACAGTTCCAGTGAGGTGGAGAAAAAAAAGGAAAAGAGCAGAAATGGCTAAGGTGGCTTTGCAAAAACCATAGGGAGGACCTGAAACCCAAAACGGGCCCAGGGAGGAGGTGGAAAGAGAGCCGGGATAGTGAGGGGTGCAAAGCTGGACAAAAAGGCTTATTCAGCCACGCTCAAAATGCAGGGAAAAGAGCGGCTGTCCGTTTAAGCGGGCAGCCACAGAGAGACAAAAGCTCTCACCTCCCATTTTGTGCCCGGTCTTCTCCAACAAGAAAGAGGGTCTCCCGCTAGGAAATGGGGATGGGAGGACAGAAATAGGGCTACGGATGGAGTCCTGCTTTGAACATCTCCAGGAGCTGACAGATTGCATCAGGGGTGGGGGTGGGGCTGAAGGGGTTCGCTGGTGGTGTGCCCGAGCCTTTACATATGGGGAAACTGGGGAAGTGCCAGAAGGCCGGAGCTCTTGGAGGGGGGGCACTGCAGCTCCACAAGTCCAGCCGGGAAGGGCTCCAGGGCGCACCCTGCGGTGATTGGCCAGCCTCCCCCTCACCATATGTGTTCGGGCAGAGGCAGAGGATTCCTGCACCCAGCGGGGGTTAGGCTGGATGGTCTCAAGGCCTCATTCAGCGATGTGGAGCTGCTGGAGAACACAGCCGTTCCACGCCCACCATCGTGGTCTGCTGCATCCCAGGGCCACTGGCTGGTAGCCAGGGTGGGAAGAGGTGGGCTCCCTGGTCGCCCAGGATTAAACCAATTAGATACGAATGGGGAGGTTTTACTGTTCCTCTCTCTGGCCATGAAGGAGGAGTGCCTTTGGCATAGTCTTGACCCACTTGGTTCAACTGCAGCCTGAAGGAAAGGAAGCTGGTCACCTGCGTCCCTCTAATGGCCCATAGCGGCCCCCCCCCGGCCTCTCCTGCTGCTGCTCCACCTGTCCTGCTTCCTCTTTCCCCATCTCCCGGCATGTTGCCAATTGCCAGGCTCTGAACCCCCCTCCCTGTATTCCCGAATCCTCCTTAATACCCGGTGTGCCCTCCATCCCCTTGCGCACCCCCCCCCCCCCCCCCGGTCCCCAGCAGGATTCTCAGGGAGCCCGCACCATCTTGGGCAGCTGTAAGCCCACAGCAGAGGAGGCCTGACCTTGCAAGGGGGCTGCAAGGGAAGACAGGGAGTTGGTGGGGCTGCAGCCCGCTCTTCTCCCCTCTTCCAAAGGCCCATGGATGCACGGAGCTGCAAGGAGGAATGCAGTTCAGTCGGAGGCTCCTCTCCAGAAGGGCAGCTGCTGGAGGCGCCTGGCCCACCCCAAGAGGACTTGGTGCAGCTCTGGGTTGGCAGGGCCAAGCCCCCAAAGGTGCCTTCTGTCTCCTGTCTCTCTGCAGGTCTTTGGCCATGGCAAGGCGAACGGGGAGCCCACCTGGGCCCTCCTGCTGACGGCCTGCATCTGCGAGATTGGGATCCTCATTGCCTCCCTGGACGAGGTGGCCCCCATCCTCTCCATGTACGCCCCTCAAAACAGGGTCCCTTCAGAGCCCTAGAAGGCCGGCAGGGTAGCTGAAAGGGGCCTTGGCTTCCCCCTTGCAAGCCTGGGGAGGGGGGCTCAGTCCTTGCTGGGGCTTCTTGGCCTCTCCCTCTCCATCCCCTTCCCACCGACACTGAGGACCCTCCTCCAATCCCCAGGTTCTTCCTGATGTGCTACATGTTTGTCAACCTGGCCTGTGCGGTGCAGACACTGCTGAGGACCCCCAACTGGCGCCCACGCTTTCGCTACTACCACTGGTGGGTGCCCTTGTCCTCCTCCCAGTGGGGGGCACTTCCTGTCCCGCGCCCTGAGGATTCTGCGTGCCTTGGGGCTGGGGGCAGGGGGAGGCACCGGGTGAAGGTTGCCTCCTGGACTCAGCGTCGCCTCCCGGGCCTTCCAGGACCCTCTCTTTCTTGGGGATGAGCCTCTGCCTGGCGCTGATGTTCATCTGCTCCTGGTACTATGCCCTGGTGGCCATGCTGATCGCAGGGCTCATCTACAAGTACATCGAGTACCGAGGGTAAGTGTCGCCACCGCTGGGCCCCCAGTCTCCCCCGCGCACCTGCCAAGCAGGGCAGAGCGTTCCTCCTGCTGCTTGGCGGGGGAAGGGAGGGGGCATGCTGTGGCTAAGTAGTGGCCCAGCTGGGTCTTGGCCCCTTCTTGGGGGTCTGGGGGATCCTGGGGGGCAGACGGGCGTGTGGGGCGAAGCTCACACCTGTCCTCTTCCAGGGCAGAGAAGGAGTGGGGTGATGGGATCCGGGGGCTCTCTCTCAGCGCAGCCCGTTACGCGCTTCTGCGGCTGGAGGAAGGGCCGCCCCACACAAAGAACTGGAGGTGAGTCGGCAGCAGAGGGTGCTGCGTGCGGGGCGTGTCGTCGCTGGCTCAGCAAAAGTTGTGCCCGGCGGGGGGAGCCCAGAGGGCGGGGCAGCCCCCAGGTGGCAGCTGAGCAGGGCCACCTTGCCCTGGGTGCACCTCCGGAGGGCACCAGCTCCTGCCCCAGGCCCTTCACCTTCCAGCAGCAGCTGCCCCTTCCCAGGGTGTGGCACATGGAGCCCAAAAAATGTGGGCTGTGCGTTCTGTAGAGCCAACGAGTGCCCGTCTTTTGTTACTCCGAGGAGCTGAACTAGAAATTCCGCCAGCCGTCTCCACCTGGCTCCAGATCTGTCTTTGTGGCCCAGAGGGTTAAGAATCCTTTTTTAAACCTAAAAACGAGGTCTATTTCCATTTTTGAGCCCAAATGGCATCATCGTGCAGAAGTGACCTGTCAGGATCTGAGCATAAGACTGAACAGACCCCCCCTTCCTTAATCTCTCGAGGAGCCAGGGGTGCCAGTACGATGTGGGGAGAGGGCCAGGAAGGGCTGGTGATGACCAGCAGAAGGTGGGGTGGCTCGATAGAGGCGTGGTGTGTGGGGAGGGCGGTGGGAAAGAGCCGGCGGGCCGGGCTGTTCCAGCAACTGGCACAGCTGGCTGATCCAGGGATAGAAGACGGTGGAGCAGGAGGCAGGACAAGCAAGACAACCATCCCAAAACTCAGGAGCGTGGGGGGGCAGTGCCCACATAACAGTGTTGAAGAAGGAGGAGAGGTGGCTCCAGGAGGCTCAACCGGCACCAGGACCGGGCTAAACGACTTCAGCTTCCCGTCTTCCCAGGCCGCAGCTGCTGGTGCTTGTCCGTGTGGATCAGGACCAGAACGTCGTTCACCCGCAGCTGCTGTCCTTCACCAATCAGCTCAAGGCGGGCAAGGGACTGACCATTGTGGGCTCCGTGCTGGAGGGCACCTTCCTGGACAACCACCTGCAGGTCCAGCGTGCCGAGGAGGTGAGTGGAGCAGAACTGGCTCAGCTGCGGAAGACCTTCCCCCTCAGCCAGCCCTGCTGGCCCAGCCCGGCTCTGAGCTCCTTGCAGGAAGGGTGAGCCCCAGGCGCAAGTTTGGGGTGCAGGGGTAACGTCTCCACCTCTCTGCTCCCCCCGCCCCCAGTCCATCCGACGGCTGATGGAGGCAGAGAAGGTGAAGGGCTTCTGCCAAGTGGTGACCTCTTGCAACGTGCGGGATGGCATGTCGCACCTCATCCAGTCCAGTGGCCTCGGAGGCCTGCAGCACAATGCCGTGCTGGTCGGCTGGCCGCGCAACTGGCGCCGCAAGGAGGATCACCAGACCTGGAGGAACTTCATTGGTAAGAGAGGAGGAGCCACAGGGCTGCGTGGAGGAAGCCCCCATGACCCCCGTGGCCTTGAGAGGGAACAGGGGCCAGCGTGTCCCACATTTTGTGCGGCTTTTCTGGCCAAGAGAGAATCTTCCTTGTGGCTCACTGGCCACTCTGTCCTCAAGGTGGGATCTCTGGGCCCCCCCAGCTTCAGCCTGCGGCTCAGCCCTTCGTGAAGGTGCCATGTGCGTTGAGCATGGGCTCCTTCCTCATTTCTCCTTGTGGCCTCTTTGTGGCTCTGATGTCTCCCTGGAGGGCAGTGTGCTGCGGGAGGACCTGCCTTCCTTGAGGATTGTCCTCCCTTCCTGGGAGCCTCAGTCAGGCGTTGGCCTTTCTCTCCCTTTGCTTGCCTCCCACAGAGTTGGTGCGAGAGACCACAGCTGGCCACATGGCACTGCTGGTGGCCAAGAACGTGGCCATGTTTCCGGCCAACACAGAGCGCTTTTCAGAAGGCCACATTGACGTCTGGTGGATCGTGCACGATGGAGGGATGCTGATGCTCCTCCCCTTCCTACTGCGCCAGCACAAGGTGCCTGCGGAAGGGATCAGGCCCCGGCTTCTGCAGGGACGGCCCAGGGCCCTCGAGGCTATCCCCTGCGGAGACTGTCTTCCGGGTCCCCGAGCCGAGGGAGCCTGGGGCCCCCCTTGGAGAGGGCTCGGCGTTTCTGAGGAGGGGGCGGGCTGTGGGCCAGCCCTGGGGTCCCTGTGCTGAGCCTGCCTGGCCGGTGTCTCCCATGCAGGTCTGGCGCAAGTGCAAGATGCGCATCTTCACGGTGGCCCAGATGGACGACAACAGCATTCAGATGAAGAAGGACCTGACAACCTTCCTGTACCATCTGCGCATCACTGCAGAAGTCGAAGTGGTGGAGATGGTGAGGCGGGGGCAGGGCGGGGGCAGCCTGGCCCTGCTCTCTGGGTTTCTCTTGTTCACTCCTGGCCCCGTCGCCCCCCCCAGCACCACCCGACACGCTCTCATCTCTTTGTGGCCCAACTGGCCATCTTACTGTTGAAGCAGGGGGCAGCCCAGCGTCAGCCCCCGGTTCCCCATTTTCACCCTGAGTGGGCAGGGGACAACCGTGCTCGCTTGGCCAGGTCATTTCCTCTTCCTACTGTAATGGAAGTGTGTATTAGGAGAGATCTGTTCTGGAAGTAAGCTGTTCGGAAGCTGTGCTGTGGTTGGGTTCCTGGCTGACCTCTGCCAAGGGGGACAGGTGCTGGTCCTTGTCAGTCCACCGATTCCAGCCTCCTTGAATGCAGACCGTTGCTCCCTCTTTGACCCACAGCATGAGAGCGACATCTCTGCCTACACCTACGAGAAGACGCTGGTGATGGAGCAAAGGTCCCTGATCCTCAAGCAGATGCACCTGACCAAGACTGAGCGGGAACGCGAGGTAGCCCCTGCCCCCGGTCACCCCCTTGGCATGCTGAGGAAGGACTCGGGTGCTGGGCTCACAGGATATCCAGGGGGGAAGTCCTGTTTCTTCTTGGCTGGCAAGGCCCAGACTGACGGCCAAAGCTGCTGCCAATGTCCTCCCCCAGTGCCTCTCCCTGAATCAGCCTCTTGGTGCCCGTCCCCGCATTGGGGCACGTGATGCACCTCAGTATGATTGGGTCAACCCTGTCTCAAACCCTCCAAAGGGCGGAGAAGGATGCTGTAACTTCAGGTTGTGTATTTTTACCGGGGGGTGGGGGGCTGCGCTTGTGTGTTAGAAAGGGACTCGGTGTTCTCCAGTGTCGGTTTCCAGCAGTTCAGCTGTTTGGCTCGAGCCTAGCTGGGCTCCGAGCAAAGAGCCCGATGCCTTGTTATTTTCGGTGTCTGCTGCAGATCCAGAGCATCACGGATGAATCACGCGGCTCCATCCGGCGCAAAAACCCCACCAACACCCACCTGCGCCTCAGTGTCCCAGACGAGCAGGTGGGCGACAGCGAGGAGAAGCCCGAAGAAGAGGTAAGGCGGCGGGGCACGGGGAGGGCAGCGACGCCAGTGGCAGGACCAGGTGAAAGCGAGAGGCAGCGCGGTTCGTAGCAGAGAGGGGAGCTGCGGGCCCGGGGCTTGGAACAGACGGCGGCCAGCAGCCTGTTTCATGGAGTCCTGGAGGGTCCAGGTTGGGAGGGCCTGGGGTCACCCGCTCCCGCCCTCTGCCACCGCTCTGGCATCCAGCCTGTTCCATCAGCTCCCCCAGGAGCCCCCGTGTTTCTCGTCCTGTCCCCTGAACCAACTGTGAAGCGTCCTGCCTGGTCTTCCACCTGGCGGCCCTCCAGATACTTCACCGCAGCCACCATGTCTCCCCTCAGCCTCGCTTCCCATGTTAAAGGCACCCAAAGCCTCCGGCAGTTCCTCTTTTCAGATTCGGAACCACCTTGCTTGCTCTCCTCTCCAGGTCCTCAGCGGCCTCCCTCAAATGCAGGGGTGGCAACGGGACGCCACATTCTAGGTGTGGCCCAGCCAGCGCAGAATCGAGAAGAGCCATGGAGTGGCTTTGTCCTCTCCCGATGAGCCTCTGCCCTGGCTGGGAAAGGCCCCCTCCCCAGGGCACCCCACTGCATTTGCCATGGCCCACACTGCAGGGTTGGGCTAGGACTGAGCTTGCTTCCCGCTCTGTCCTGCTGCTTCCCCCCGCGGGCCAAAAGAAGGCTATGGGGAGGATGAGCAGAAGACCCTGGGAGGGAGGCCAAACTGGAATTGAGCCAGATACCAAGAATGGTCGCTGCTTCAAAGGGGGGGCTGGCTCAAGCGATGCCTAACCCGGGGGGGGGGAGAGAGAGAGAGAGAGAGGTCCACACCACAAGGGACTGAGCCACAAACCAGCCAGTCACACTTGGGCAACGCAGGCTGTGGGCACCCAGCCCACCTGGTTTGTCGGTTCAGAGTGACACGCAACTTAGAAAATTAGGTCTGCCGAGTCAACCGTGATTCAGTTAAGGGTGGGTGGGTGTGCCGGGTGAATGCAGCCCCCTGAAGGCTGGTATGCCCTGTGGGTTGCTCAGCACTGCCTCCCCAGGATTGGGACCTGCCCTGTCCCCAAGCACGTGCTCTCATGGCCCACTTTTCTCCATCTGTCTTCCCAGCCCACCGCTGCCTGCTTTTCCTGGCAGCCCGGCTCCCCCCCCGGCCCGCAGCTGCTGTGCCGCTTGCCCCCCAAAAGGTTTGCGAGCGCTCCAGAGGCTCAGCAGGCAGGAGGGGTGAAGGCGCTCCATGCCCACTCAACAGGTGCAGCTGATCCACGACAAGAACGCCACCACCTTCTCAAGCAGCTCCCAGTCTCCGGGGGATGAGCCCGAGGCAGAGGCCGCCCCTGAGAAGGTGCACCTGACCTGGACCAAGGACAAGGCGGCTGAGAAGAACAAGGCGAAGAGCCCCGTCAGCTCCGAAAGCATCAAGGACTTCTTCAGCATGAAGCCGTGAGTCCGCCCCCCTCTGGGCGCCCCGCTCAGCGGGGGAGGACCCTTCTGGCGCCAGAGCCAGGCTGCTGAGCCCAGGAGGCTCCAGGCAGCGGTGTGGGGGGTCAGGGGGCCCCCAGGCAATGACGTGGTCTCTCTTCCTCCCTCTGCCGCTGCTGCCGCCACCGCCGCCACCAGGGAATGGGAGAGTCTGTAAGTCCCCCCTTTCTGCCGCACTGCTCTGCTTGGGGACGGGGGTCTCCCAGGGGTCCCCGCCAGCT